ATGATATTTATATGCATAGAATGCCTCGAAAAGTCCTAACTCTTGTAGCGACATTATTTCCAAACTTAAAGAATTTAAAAGCATGCATTTACCCAAGTGAATTATCACAACTTTGTTCTATATTCACATATTGTCAAAATTTATCCCATATAACATTAATTGGTTCAGCTTCACGATCAAGTGACGAACCTTCAAATTTATTATTATACTTCAACGAGATAAAACAAAATTTAAAAGAGTTAAGATTAGAAGGATCGATATGGTCATTTTCATCATTTGCATTTGAGACGTTTTTAAAGAATAAAAATATATTAAAAAGTTTACAAGTTTTAGAAATTGTTGATTCCAAAGATTTTGGAAATCAACATTTACTAGTCATAATTAAATGTTTAGAAGGAACTGATGATATTGCATTGAAAAAATTAGTGATATCCTCCTGTGAACCAATAACTTCTAAACATCTTGACAGAATTAAAAGGATTGTTAAGAATGTTTCTTATCAAAAATTAATTTGGACTGGAAGAACTTTAACTACGTAAATTATTCCGCGCATTATATATTAGAAATATTAGAAGTAATTTTTTAAAAAATTAATATTTAAGACTCAAACTTTAGTTATCATCCAAAATTAAGATACACGGTATTTAAATCCATGTATTAACAGAAAATCATGGAAAAAAATCATTTTTCACTCCTACTCATAAAATTCGATGATTTCGCAAAGGCAGTCGGACCAGGTGTTCTTCTTGTTGTTGTACCACAGTACCAGAAGTAACTCCTGTTATACCTACCAGCTGCAATCACGGCACCAAAACCAACCTTTTGCTCCAAAGGTCTCATGTTGCACCTATCACACATGTAACACCTCAGTAAACCCAGCTAAAACTATTCCTTGTCACAAGAAAGGATTTAATTGTATAGAATTAATGGTGGATAGGAATTAAGTATTACGATTTGTTTAAAAAAATATTGTTTTATAACAGAAGTTATTGAAATTCTTTTAAAAAATTCCGTAAATGTCTTTATTACCTTTTTTTTCTAATTTTATGCATCTTATTAATAAACAGATAATTTAATGGCATATTACATTACATTTTGAATTGTTGATAGAAAGAAAAGTCTTTTAATGATTTTCAGATTTATTGATT